AAACAATCAATCCCGGCATAAATAGATACGCTCGGAGGCTGGAACGGTCCCGAGTTCCTCCCCGAAGATGATCGGGGCTTCTGCGAGTCTTCCGACAGCCGGTCGGCCGACCGGCCAGGATTTCATTAGAATTTCCTGGGACGCGCGGATTATTGCCAACCGGCTCTGTCGCACTCTCGATTTCCAAGGGAACGAATCGCGCGAGTGTGTGATTAATTTATCGGCGCTTCGAGCGGCCGGCGTGAAATTTCGGAAAGGAGGGAGCGCGGTTCGAGTTGTACTCCGGTGTTAATATCGGACGTTAATTGGTGGTGGGAATATTATATGAATCGAAGGGGCGATTAGAAATGAGAAATATTGTAGGAGTAATTAGGAATTGGATATTAGAATGTAACGGAAAAGTGACATTCGAGTAATTCTTATTAGTAAGAGTATTATCGAAGAGAATGTTTATAGAAAGTAGAAGCTTACGACAGGTGTATAAATTCAAGCGTAATCATTTTTCAATCCGCAAAAACGAACGGTCGAGTCGAGCTCCTTCGAGACGCTCGAAGCGTCAACAACGTCTGCAGATCCACGGAATCACCGGATCGAGCCGCTCGGGTGCGTCGAAATCGCGGAATCACGCATGGACAATAATAACCATGATATATTCGGATTCCGCGATGGTTATTCAGCTCGACAACAATTCGGAATACGTAATAAATCGACAATGAACGTCGCCGTGCTCCGGGCGGACGGAAATTTTTCTAAAGTAAAACCATCCGTGACTCAACTTATCGGAATTCCCGGCGACCCCCGCGCGCCGGTCGCCAGGCAAATTGAACGTTTACACGATTACGCAGTCGCGAACGAGCCCCGGCCGCGGCCAATTTTCACCTAATTCGGACGCGGCTAACCGTGTGGCAAGAGATATCCAGCTTGTCGAGCGGAGATTTAGCGTGCTGCTTGCAGCAACGCATCCGCCATCGCGCCGCGGCGCTTCCAGCTAAGCGCGTCCACGCTCGCAACACGATTTACGTAACGCGTCTGACACCTATCCGACGATTTTACGCAATGGTTTATTACAGTACCAGCTCGCGGAGACGCGTTTAATTCGTCATCGCAACGGTACAAGACGCGATTCTCCTTGCACGGCCCGATAATCGCTCGTAATTCCGTTTTCCTTCCGCCTCCCGGTAAGCCGGGGCATCCCCGGCGCGACGTGAGATTTGAATAACAGGTTGCGAGCGAATTCGCGGACGCCTCGCGGAGGAGTTTACAGTTAGGCAAACGCCTGCGCTAGAAATTAGTCGCGCGTCGGACAACGTCGCGGACACCTATTATTTGCATGCAAATTCGAGGCACGTTTTATGTTAACACGATCGCGGGAGAACGGGGTGTTCACGACGCGAGAACACGAACTCGCGATTCGCGAGCAACGCTGGACTCGGCGATCGGATATGACTTATTTCCAATGTTTCTTTTGACAAATCGGAACGATGTGTTTCTTGAGATTCGAGGAGTCTAGTACATAGTCTTGTATTCGTAGAAGTTTCATTTAGAATCATTCGCGAACGCCTTCGCAATTGAAGTATTGAAATGAAGATTCTGAAGTGGGTCGATTTGACTATGTGACGAGCGAGACACGGGTAGATAGAGAATGAAAATTCTAATTAGGATGTTAGATGATTATAATCTCTACTATACATAGATTTTTATTATTGTTTACTAATATTAGATTGAGGAATAAGTTTATTTTGAAAACTGCCGATAAAGGAAGGAATGTTAATATGATAATTTTAAGATCAAGATTGATTTCATTTTTCTATTTCAGGTCATTGTTCTGTCGAGTTGAGAAGAATCTCTGGAAGACACTGACGGCGATGCTCTGTTCGATGGTTCTGGAAGATGGCATTATCAGGCTTATAGGCAGGCTGTCAACGGTGGCCCGGCACAAAACGAGGATTGCTCATCGCTGATGTAACCGATGATATACGCTGGCGAACCGATAAAACCGATTACGTCAGCGATAGAGTAGCACACCTCGAATAAAGGTCTGCGCCGGTGAACGAAAGCAGTTCGAGAGGAAACTCGAACGTGACTGCAATAACTGCGATCGACGAGGAGTACGACGCTGTACGCTTCGACGAACCGAAAAGAAACGTGACAAACAAGTTTCTAACTCGACGGGGAAAAGCAAAAGTGACACTTCCAGGCGTGCCATCGAGAAGAACCGCCGCCCGGCGATCGGGTTTCGTGGACAGGGAAGCGGAGAAGTAGACGATCAGATATTACCATTGAACCATGGAACAAGACGTATCCATTCACATCAAATTGGAAAATTCCGTCCGAAAGTAGAATATTTCAGCAAATAGCGTATATCGTTCGAAAGCGAAATTTATCCTCTACAATACTCAAATTTATGATTGATGCAATTTTCATTTCGTTTGAGGTCATCGAAATGGAACGTCAAATATAAGAGTACCATAAGAGATTACCATTTTCCACCAGTAATGGCAGAATGCTCTTTTTCTATTTGATGTTGCATTTTAATTACCAAAAGCTAAAGAAATATTAGATCAACGAAAAATCCAGAAATACTAACGTGTAGAGAATCAAATTTCCTTTTCATACGTTATTTGCCAGGATGTCATTTTTTTCAATGCTGTTTCCAAATTTCAAAGAAACAGCAACTGAATTCAAACTTATTAACCATATCGATCCTTCGCAGGTGAGGATCTTGATCGCGAGCCACTTTACCCGGTGTTACGTGACGGCGTCTACACTCCCCACGGAGCCAATGGCCATGACACCCTGACCCGCGGAGGTATTCGTTCGACGGATGATTGCTACCATCGCTGAAAAACGACGCGCTGAAAGAATAGGGGCAAGATCACGAGCAACGAATTCCTTTTGCACCCTTTTGTCCGGGAATAATAGAACGGAAAAAAATGGTAATCGTTCATCGGGACTGGTATTCAGTTACCATGATATTAAATGGGCGGGTGTCCGTGGGTAATTAGCGGAAGATTGCTCGAAGACTCAATCATCATGTAGCCTGCTGATCTATCTAGAGAGTAATTTGACTTTTTTCCACGTTAGAACTATCGAGCAATTTATTTAGAATTTATTATAATCTCTGGGACTGCACATCCATCGAGACTCGAAGCACGCCGTTGTAGTCGTGCAAACTCTCCGGTTCTAACCCTCTGCATTCCAAAAGTTTTTTCACTGGAAATGCACAATGCTTAAAATTAATTTAATTATTTATTTTAATTACTCCAATATTTCACGTGTCGATTATACTTAATATTGAATTTCAAACTTGATAATTTTCCTATGTCAGATCAAGTACTCTTCAAGCACTCTTCATCAATATTCACTATTTCCCGATGATTTCATCTATATTTATAGATCACGCTGTTTCCAAATACCGAAAGAAAAATCCTGCATAATTTAAGGAACAAAACCATTCTATTTCTATATTATATACATTCAAAATTGATATCCCATCCGAAATCGAGTATCGAATTCTTAATCGCACAATTTCGCTGTAGTAGATAAAACATCTGTAAACCGCTCCCGAGTGCAGAAGGTTAATACCTTTCAAGCTCCAACCAGCCCGACAAATTGACACCAAACCAATATCCCGCCCAGTCATTCTCGAGTACTAAAAAACGAAACATTTCACAGAACATCGTAGGAACGGATCACCGGTGAGGTACGAGGAACGCCAACACGCTTAAAACGTGCCACGCTCGGAAGGCAAAACATTTATTCCGCTTCCTGATGCAGAAGGGGCCCGGAGGAGCGAGGAGTCCCTGCTCACCGCTTTCGCTACGAGGGAATCACGACGAGGGAAACGTCGGGGCCACGTAACAGGCGCGATACGATAGTGATTCCTGGAGACAAAGGAAAACGTGTAGCTACACGCCCGGTTAAAAGGAGCGACCTCCTTGAGAACGGTCCTTGACTCGTAGAGACGGCCGAGATAAGAAGGAGGAGAAGCGGTGCAAGTAGTTGTAGAAGTAGAAGAAGAAGAAGCAGAAGAGGAGGATGAGTAGAAGAAGAAGAAGAAGAAGAAGAAGACGAAGAAGAAGAAGAAGAAGAAGAAGAAGATGAAGAAGATGAAGAAGAGGAGGGAGAGAAGAAAGAGAAGGGAGACCCGGAGGCGAGTAATGGCGCCTACACTCGGTGGCCGCGAAAGGGCGAAGAATATTCTGCTTCCGAGGAGCGCGATATACAAGCCAACAGAATACGCGGGCTGCGCCGGGCACCGCAAGATAGAAAGAGACCATTCGAGGATAGAGAGAAAGACAGAGAGAGAGAGAGAAAGCTGAGAACACGGGAGAGGAAAATGTATCCAGCCGGAGAGCGTACTGTGGTACCGGTCGATCGTTTCTCTTCTTCTCCCATACTTTTCCCTGCTCTAATGCAGTTAATTAAACAACCAGCAAAACGATATTCCTGGAATGAGATCGTAGAGGCTCCGAACGAAATCGAGGGTCCGCGGTTGTAAGTGCATCGGGGAGTATGGAAGAATGACCGTTCGAGCCTAGGGACAATTTTACTGCCTCGCTGTTAAGTTAATGCCTAGGCGTTACGGTGCCCCTGCGCGAGATAAAATGTTACGTCCCCGGCGAGCGTTATTTCTTTCGTTTCGTTTTTTTTCCAATCGATTCCACGTGTAACTCGAAAAGGAATCTCGTACAATAAAATTCGAAAAGTTCCCCGCGGCCGCCGCTAATACAATCGCGGCCCGCTGCCGTTAATATTGATACTCGGAGAGGAGATTCTCCCGGGGCCGGCCGACCGTCCGGCGCGCCGCGGCGCGGCTCGCGGATCGGTTCAAGGACCTGTCCGCTCTAACGCGATCCCGCGCCACTTTTTATCGCGGCCGAACCCGAACCGAACCGGCGGACACGCCGAGGTCGTGAACCGGCCATGCAAATGCGGTGGCGAAAAACTTGATGGCTCTCCGCCGATCGCGGAGAAACGATTCCGGCGCCGTTCGACGGTCTCGTCCGTGACTAAGTGCTTCTGTCCGGGACCGAGCCGGCCGAGCTGGAACAGTGACCTTTGGTTCCGCGACGGGACTAATTGGAGAACGCTCGGACGTTCTTTCGATGATAATTCACGCGCGAATCGAGGAACGGATGTATCCTTAACGTCCCGCGCGGGCTGAGTTATGCGGAGTTTAATGGCGAATATTGAATTAACATTGATATCGGTACGATTATTTTACTACGAAGCATTATAAGTGTTGTAATATTACTAAATATTAATGTTAATGTTAATGGTAAACTTTATAGTCCCACTACATCAAGTCAAGTGCCAACCGGACTCATCTCCCGAGTGCAAAGGGCCAACATTCTACGCGGCCCGCAACAAACGCAACAAATACTTGACACTCCGCCGACTGGGAGCCTATTAACAGGTTTTTCGATGGAGGCGCTGAACGACCAATAGCTTGTAAATCGGCTTTTCGATTTCCAACGCTCGTCCACCGGCGGCCCATTAAAACGACACTGTTCCGGATCGGGGGAGATCGGTACGACGTGATGAGCATGCCTCAAATAATTACTAAATTACATAGCTTCGAAAATAGATCCGTGAAGTGCGACCATTTAATCAGCTTATTTTTCCCTGTTCTCAGATGTTAATTAGAAAAGAGGGAAACGTTCAGAATCAACGTTGAACGTGCACTCCCAAAATCCAATTCGCGAAACTGGAACCCTGTCAACCGTTCAAACGAATGTTGATCTATCCACAGTTGAATATTTAAACACACCGGTAAGGAGATCGCGATTTATATAAACCGTACATCGCGTACACCGCGTTCCACGCGTGATCTTAATTGAAATTTTCATTCAACTATTCAGACCGCCGTAAAGTTCCACAGGTTGCCCTCCGAGCTGAACCGCCGACCAGAAACTCCTCGTAAATTGCGAAGACGAATCCGTTGAAAAAATTACCGATTCGATCCGGACCGTTCCGTGGCTTTACGTTTAATCCACGTTCCTCATCTTCCACGTCCGGAATGATACTCGCGGGCATGCGATGCAGAAGGTCGCGAGGTGTGCTCATTCGTGACCAGAAAAATCTCTCGAAGGGAAAACCTGGAGAAGATCGGAGAAAGATCGAGCGGACGCGCTCGCGTACACCTTGGAACGACTGTACACGTTCACATCGAGAGTGCACGCACACCGGTTTACTCGCTCCGTCTCTCTGCTCGTTTCTCTTTCCCTTTCCCTCTCGCGCGGAACCTGACTGAACGGAGACGGAAAAAGAGAGACAGAGAGAGAGAGATAGAGAGAGATAAAGAAAGAGGGAAGGTGCGAGTGGCGTCTCAGGAACGAAGGATGCCTATAATCGGCAATGGACGACCGCACCTCGCCACTTTCGCGTTGCTTGACGTGGATACCGGTCTAACCGATCGACCGGTTAATCATCGTCGTCTTCTGCCGGACTCTATCTCTCGCGCGCACCGCCACGCATGCCCGTGTGTTTATTATACGGTAGCCGGTCGGTGATTTCGTGAGGGCCTGGAGAACCCGGCCCCTCGCTTGCTCGCTCGCTCGCCCGCTCGCCACGCGTAATTTAATTAGCCGCGGGATAATCGCTGCGCCAACTAATAGCCGGCTTCAAACACGGAGGACAGAGTGCGGGAGAGACAGAGGGAGAGAGGGAGAGAGAAGGGAATGTGTGTTTGCTCCGATCGGAGGTGATCCCGAAGAAAAATCATTTTCCCCGAGTGGGACGAGCGGAATTGGTATCGGGAATAGGAACGTGAGAATTGCAGACGCTTCTGCCGCCGCGATTAACGTTAATTGGGCTCTATTAATATGAAACGCGGCAGTTTGTTAGCAATCGAGGGTATGACTAACGTGTGCGCGTATAATTGCGATTATATTCAATAACTCTCCCATAGCGCGACGATTGGTCTCGTTTATCCCGCGCCCGGATCTTCTCGCGCGATTTTATCCGCGGATCTCGCCGAGTTCCGCCATTGTGCTCGTCGAAAAGTCGAAACGCGCCGCGGAGGTCGGCGGTAATACGGTCGTTAAAGGTTTCCACGTTTATCGGGGAGGCTCGAGGTTGATCGAGACAACGAGCGGAATGATTTCCTTTTATTTTTATTCCTCTCCACTCTTTTTCTTCCTCCTCCGTCTCTCCGTCCCGCGGGACGAACGGGGAGCGCGCCCGATCGTTGCGAGTCGCGTTTATCTCAGGTGTGCCCTCGCGCTCGCAATAAAGAATCGCGGCCGAAGATGCAATTGGGCCGAGGAAACCGCCGCGGGGATGCATAATTGAATGAAGCACGATTTAAATATTACTTGCGAAACTCATAAATATGCAGAGATTACAGCTCGATGGGACGATCCGTGTTTTCAGAGCTTTCCTCCCGGCGGTGGCAAAAAACCGGCGATCCTCGGCGACGCCCGTCGCGGCGCTGATTTCTGCCGATACCGGCGCGGCCGTGGAACGAACGGTTCGATTCAATTCAATTCTATGGTAATACGGTCGCGCCGGGTGACGCCGGGATAGCTCCCTCTCGATACTCGCGTGCTGGGACGCGCGAATTTGAATCCGAGCCCTTTCGGAACGGCGACAGACAAAAACCGGTAGAAGCGGTCCAAAGCATTCCACGGGACAGCGAGACCCATCCGTGACCCCCAAGGACGCCGAGGGCCATCCCACCCCCTCCAACGTTTCTACAAGGACGTTCAAGGGTTTCTATGGGGCAACGTTTCGCGCGATCGTCGTGGCCCGAATTGTTTGGCCGATGTGCCGGCTGACGAGTACCCTAACGCAGCGGTTCTTAAACTTGATGCTACGTGTATGTTACTGCAGACAACATCATTGCTATTTCTTTAACGCGTCGACTGCCATGCTAGTCACCGATGATGCTTCTTATAATTGCCTTTGAGCAACTAGGAAGCGGTCATCGGCGAACGCTGTGACAGTGTATTAATAAAAGGTAAGGAATAGCTTCGTGTACCTATGTAGTCTATTTTTCACTATATAAATTATTAGTCTAAATTATTAGTGTTTATTAATATGAGTAAAAATAATAGGAAGTGTTTGACTCGCAGATCCCTAATACACGTTCAAGGATTATCGAAGAACGGCCTGGAGCACAGTTCAAGGATCGCCGGCCCAAGGTGAAAGGCAACGCATCAATTTTCTAATCCACCGCACGCGTTCCATCGACACGGTTCACGGTAACGATATCGAACATTGTAGGAACGTTCCCACGGAGTCTCACCCGGTTACTGGACGAACATTACTGTAATCAACAGAACGCTGTAACAGGATTCCGGCGTCCTATCCGTGCGTGCTCCGGATCGTTCAGCGTTCGCCGCTGGGAATAAAATCGCGGCTACGGAGCCCGTCGGGATGCAACTTTTCGTGATCGTCCGAGTTAAATCGTTTCCTGTAGCTACGAACGTGCAAAGAACTGAATGGACAAGAAGAGTCATCAATTCGAAAGGAGCCCAAGTAATAACGACAAGAAGTCATGCGACAGAAAATTGCCGGACGAGGCAAAACCACGGTATCACTCTTTCTCCTTCTTTTTTTCTCTCCCGCGAGCCAACCGACCGACCGGGATAAGGCGATTGTACTTCCTTAATTATCGAGACATTTTCACATACGCGCGGAACACGCGAAAATCTAGATGCCTCGTCGACGCGACGCATCCTAGGTCACGGAGCAGCTCGTTGGAAGCTTCTCGCGTGAGAAATGATCCTGCTACTGTACATCGAGATTAGGATTACTTCCTGTTATGGTTTAATTCAGACTGATGTTTTAAAATCGCGATAACCGGGTTCTCTTGGCAGACGAGTAACGAAACGCAGCCGAGGATAGCCGTAGTCGTGGCGCTTGCTAATTATTTCCAGCAGAGGCAGTCGACGGATGCGACTGCTCGAAGCTGACTGCTGCCGTGCTTCGCGATACACATTTCTGTTGCGCAAACTATCCTGGCCACGCGAAGTTCGAACGGCGTTAGTAACGATTTTTTCAGTGTGAAAGTTTCAAGGTTTCGAAGCTTCAAAGTTTTAAAGTTTTAAAACTTCAAAGTTTCAAAGTTTCAAAGTTTCGAAGTTTCAAAGATTCAAAGATTCAAAGATTCAAAGTTTCAAAGCTTCCAAGTTCTGAAGTTCCGAAGTTCCAAAATTAAAAAATTTCAAAGTTCCAAACTTCGAAAGTTTCAAATTTCCGTAGTTCCAAAGTTCCAAAGTTCCAAAGTTCCAAAGTTAAAAATTTCAAAGTTCCAAATTTCGAAAGTTTCAAATTTCCGTAGTTCCAAAGTTCCAAAGTTCCAAAGTTCCAAAGTTAAAAATTTCAAAGTTCCAAATTTCGAAAGTTTCAAATTTTCAAAGTTCCAAATGATCAAACTCTCGTCATTCAGAGTTTCAAAGTTTCAAACGATCAAGCTTTCCAATTTTTCAAACGCAATGGTTCTACCGCTAACAGCGAAACGCTTGGAAACAAAGTTGCTGGTTGCCGATGTTAATGTTATGTATTCTACGCAACTCGGGGATGCAAATCGTCTTTGAATCATTCGCTCGCATTAGATCGCGCGCCCTTACTCGCGCGCGATTGAGCAACCCGTTGCGCCGCGGCCCACGAGCGTATCGCGCGTCCACGCATTCGCGCTAATTTCGATCGGCGACCAGGAAAATGACGGACCGAGTACCGCGCCGCGACCTCGACAATGCCTTTCGCCGTCGATCGAGTATTGTGCGCCGCTTCGATCGGTGACATAAGAAACGCCCGACGCAGGAAAGTAAATAATCGGGGCCACGTCATTTTAATGCTTTGCACTGGAAAGTTTTTGGAAAGATCTGCCCCTTTTTCCTTAGCAACGCATTATTATTTATTCTGCGTATTCTGATTGTTACTTAGTAAGTCTCGAACTGGGAATATTCCGCGATTCATTAATCCATTCGCGCGACAGTTATTTTATATATTTCGTGGACAAAATGTACTTAGACGATAGTATGAGAATAATCCAAATAATATTTAGAAGCAAATAATATTTAGACTAGTTGGTATGATAGTATGGTATTACACAGAAAATCGAAGAATACAAGATATTAATATTTATTGATAAACTACGGCAAAATACAAAATACAGCGGAAGTCTAACTCGTTATTCCGCGCGAATGGGTTAAGCACCTTTTTTGCTTTTATACGATTTCCAATCACACCTGCTGAATGAGTTCAATTAAAGTTAGTGTACGATGTTATAGTTTCTTTTCGAGCGGTTGTCTAAGTGTTAAGAAAACCATTTCAACGGCACAGGAGGTTCGTTGATCGTTTCCTCGGCAGTCAAAGAGTTAAACAGGAGGTCCGGCGAAACGTTCGAGCAAATGGGAAATACGCGATATATCAATGAGCGTGCCGATACACGGAGTTTCACGGCAACGAGCGGCAATCACGTAATATCGCTCACGAGAGTGCGGAGAACGGAGCCGGAGGTGTTGTTAGAATCGTACTTTCGAACAGGCGATTACCTTTAAAAATTCTATTAACATTCTTGTAAACGTTCGGTAACGATTGCTCGTTAGAGAAAAGAATAACGCTCGAACTGTGAATTTAACGCTGGGACTACCGAGGAAATCTGACTGAGCCATTTGAAACTATTCGTTTCACGATTATCCAAAACGAATATTACGAAAAGTAGCAATACGAATAGATCGATAACAATTTTTTCTTGTTAACTGTTTCTTTTAGTGATATCAATAATGAATATTCCGAATATTATTACTTCTCATTAATGTCGGTGCGTTATTTCTTACGATATTCGCAAATTCGAATCGCCTTGGGTAGAACGAGGACGCGATTAACTTAAAAAGACAAACAGGACGGTGCTAAAAAGAACGAGAAAGTGATTGCGTCGAAAAGTGGCGAGGAACGCGGCGGGGTTAAGACTCTGCGGACGAGCGATTTAAATGCGGCACGGGAGACTTCGATGCGTGGCGAGGAAGCACCGCCGCGATGGACGCGTTAAATACGCCGCGCGCTTAGCCAACAGTTTCCTTTGTGTCTCGAGCACGTCCCGTTGCTTATGGCTTAAAACGCGGAACAATGAAATCCTGTTAAAACAGCTTCATTGTGCCTCGATGTATAAATACACGTTTAACCCTTATAGCGCCGGACAACGAGGGATTCTAAAGTTATTCTGTGTTTATCTTCATTCTGAAGCTTGAAGACTGATGAGGGACAAATAATGTCATTTCTTTACTTTTAACGCGCATTGAACGTTATTCAATGAAACGTTTAGTTTATAAATGAAATATTTAGCTTCGTCGAATTTAGTTTAAAACTTTCATCGCGAGTCTGACGCGATATTACAGGAGAAGTTTATACTTCTTTTCCAAACCATACTAATGATATCAATTATTTCTTAACCTCTGCAATTCTTTCAGTCAGCGTTAAAAGGGTCGTGCGTCACGGTAGAATTCCAGGAAACGAATACGAAGGATCTATTTCAGCGCGATCGCGAGCCACGCCGGCGAACGGGCCAGAAGCAAATGATCGCGTAATGCATTCGGAATGCATTTGCAAGATAATAGAAGCCCCGGTGACGTTAGGGAGACGTTTCCTAGTTACAATGGCCTGTCTCGTAGCACGCAGACGGAATCTAGCGAATCTCCACGAAGGTGCAAATGAATAGCTCGACCAATCGCCGAAAGTGCTATTACGAACGATAATAATCATTTCACGCGATCCTTCAAATTTCACATCGGAAAGATCCACTGTATTCGACTATTTCAAATAACCAACAGTGAATCCTACCTATTACATATAATCATTTTTACCGAATAAAATATCGCGTCACTTAGCATCTGCCGAGACAAACTGACGCTCGGGTCTTATCAACTAAGTTTTTTTAAACATTGTAAGACCCGAACGATCAAGGTAATAATGATCAGCTAAACCATATACTTTTACAGTTTTATCGTCGATCTGTTCTTCCTAATACACGTTCCCGCCTCGCGTGATCGTCGCGAGGTCTCGTTAGCAGCGTTTCCCTCGATTTTTTTCCTCCATATCCGCGAATCGACACGTAGATCGAGCAGGCAATGACGCCATTTCGCACCGTTCCCCTTAATCATCTATATTTTTATATTCCTAACAGGACTTACGCAATGCCCGGCGATTCGTTGGTAAATATAAGTACTTGCGTTAGATCCAAAGGCGGCGAGGCCGCGTCCGAGTCCATAAAAGCACACCAAAGGATCACAGTCCACTCGTATCCTCGTTGATCCACGCACGCATCGAACTGCTCACTCACTCGCGGCCGCACTCGCGACCCGTTCTTTACCCCGGTGCTCGATCATCCTAGGTACTACCCGGCGTGTACCCGCGAAACCACGCGCACTCGCGGCTGAAAACCGGATTCCAGCCGGCGAAACGTCTGCGCTCGTCACAGAACGTGTCCCCGCTCGAAATCACTAGTAGGATCTCCACCGGGCAGATCGGTCCTCGATCTGTATACGGTAAACCTTGGATAATTGCAACATTACGAACGCACAACCGCTAATTGATAGAGTTTCTCTAAATACGAGATAACCTGGGATCATAGAATGATCCGATTACCGTTGAACTCGACGATTTTCACATATTCCCGTGCTAATAGAATGAAACTTCGATTGTTGTACGAGTATTCGGGATAATTCTACTTCGGTATCATTTTAACTGGAACGTAACGCAACGGTGAAAGTTTCGCTCATTGAAAATCGAAAGTAACGAAGTTTGATCTTTGAACGTTACAACGAAGTTCCAGCGCTTCGATTGTCTCTTTTTTTACGACCAACTCAGCCTTGTCTCCTGGAGTCGGACCGTTTCTATTTCCTCGTAATTGCTACGCGAATCGTGAACCGATCGTTGTAATTATCCAATGTTCGCTCTACCGGGAACCTTGCCGATTTTCGTTCGCGGTGTTCGTCGTTCCCGGCCACCGCGTCCTTGAACAGGTAAACCAATACCCAAGGATGTTCTGTTGCCGAGGATGATCGAGGAATTCGCTGTTGCCCGGCCGTCTATCCGCGGGAGGATCGCCTAAACTCGACCCTGAATCTATTATCCTTGGCGGGACGCTTCTCGAACAGTTCTCGATTCGATCACGCGAATCCGCAAGGCCGGGAAAGCGAGGTTGAGCAACGTTTCGAGTGGATGACTTATCGGAACGTATTTGTCTAAGCTTGTCTTCCTTCGGTAGGCTCTCGGAGAGGGTGCGCGCCAGCGGGGACAATGACGCAAGCGTCGAGAACAAATCGACCGAGAGTTCGAGCGATTTCGCGGACGTTCCTTTCTCGGGATGGGCGACGGCCCCGTGACTCTTGCTCGCTTTCGAAAGCTGTTCAGGACCGGTCACCGGTGGAATCGAAAACGCCTCGTGAGGATGCAGTCGAGTCGAACGTGTGTGAACGTACGAATTGAGACGAGATGAATTATCTTCGGGTCGAGGAGAATTTCGGGTAACAAGATTCACATCGAATAGAAATGGTAATTGGGTAATAACAATATTTAGCAACGTAAGCAACTAGATACTGGGAACTTTGATACTAGATGATTAATCATTGTTTTTATTAGTTTTCCAGAATAAGAGTCGTGGAATGTTCCAGATTCCATTGGGGACAGTTAGAATGAGATTGACGTCGGACGGAAATATTTGGTAACTTGAGTAACTAGATAACAATGTGAGAACTCCGGTATCGACTAATTAATAACTGTTTCTGCTTATCTCTGCTACGACAGAACAAGAGATTCATGGAACGCCCGAGATTCCTCCCGGGACAATTGCAGAAGATCAATGTCGAACAGAAGTATTTAGAAACGTAGATAATGGGAATATTTCGAAATGTAAGTAAGGATAACAGAAATACTTAGAAACGTAACAAAGATAATAGAAACATTCGTGGAACCGAACAATTAGTAACCGTTTCTATCTATCGTAGCCACGAAACAAGCGATCCTCGAGATTCCTGCAGCGACCGACACACGAAGAAAAGCCAGTGACAGGCGTGATACGCGATCCGCGAGAAAAAGTCACGGGAAAACGAGTCGGAGTTTCGTTTCGACTCTCTCGCGCGCGCGCAGAAAAACGCGACCAACTCGCGTTACGGCCAGGTAGTCGCATAATTTCTGATCGGCGGTCTCGCGCGCATCCTTGACACCATCCGCCCAAAGGATGTGCTAAAGGTCGCAGCTGTCGCGCGCGCGCGTGCACGCACGCCGGCGCGACATGACGTCCGATTTCGCGATCGGACCGTTTCCATCGAAGAAATTTCCAGCTGTCCGCCTCGGAGTTTCGTCGAGGCAGCAACCGACATGCAACCGACAACCGTGCCACATGAAACTCGATTTTCACCGAAGGAAACGCCGGGTATTAATAGCCAGCGGGAACACGAGATGAAAGTAACGCGGCGCGTCGAGCAAAAGTGTAACACTTTTACGGAAGACGGGGAACCGGCGGACTTTCCACGTACCCCGCGAGGATCTATTATTAATTCAAGGCCGGATCGAGGCGGGCGGAGGGCCGAGGACGAGGGGGGCAAGCGAGGATCCCCGGCGAACGGACGCGTCCGCGGAGGAACGAGATTCTTTCCGGAGGGATGACTCCATTTTGGAGAACCGCGGGCACCGCGGAGCGTGACCGCGTTAACGCCGTGGAAAACTTCGGCGTGCCGCTTTTCCCTCGGCGGGGAAGATCGAAACGAGCAATGAATTATCTGGTAACAGGATTCTCGCATCGGAATATTATCCACTCATTCACGCTGTTCATTCTAATTGGATAGTTGTCCCATGAATTATAATCGTCTTCGGGTACTTCGGAAGCTAAGGCCACCGATGACCGTCGCGGCAGTCAACGTGTTAATTCCCGGGAATACTCGAAAGGACGACCAGCGTCGCGGTAAACCAGTCGATCGCGAATATTCTAGGTTGACCTTGACTCCTCCGGAGTGAATCGGTCCAAGAGCTTCGACCGTTGGCTCCTGCTGGTCTCTATTTTATCAACGGGAACGTTCGGTCCGCGGGTGAGCGACGATAGGAACGGTCGCGGGTAACGATCCTACGAAGGGGGACTGTCGTGCAATGTCTGCCGTTCGCAGGTACGGTTCCATACGAAGGGCAAAGGGAAGGACAGCCAGGAAGCTGGAGTGGATCGGCGCGTTAAGGGATCACCGGCGTTAGACGCCTAAATGGCTCGCACCTGAAATTCACGGAGCTGGATCCTTGAAGCAGACGGTTCCTCGTGATCACTTACCCGTCCCCATGGCTGACAGCAGCCTCCTTCAGCCACGATTCCTCCTTGTATACGTGGTCCAATGCTGGTTGGTTTCACTAGCTGGTCAACGGTGGTAAGGAAAAAAATAAATAAACCACTGTACACCTCTCGGCGAAGACGTCGGGGAAAAGGACGAGCTCCTCGTCCAGCCGGTAGACCGCGGACGAACTGGCGGCTGGCGAAGACTTTTGGTGAGACTTCGACGTGAGACAACGGCGACGTCATCGCCGGCCTGGTGTCTCATTGGCCGGCGGTCCTTCTCTTCGCTCGACTTGCCTCTCTCTTTTCACCGTTCTCCCTCCTCTCCTTTTCCTTCTACGAACTCCGCTCTCGCCTCCTCCTTCCGCCGCCCTCGCCCGCGCCGCGGCAGGCCGCCGTGCCTCTCTCCTCTCTGTTCTCACCTGGCCGGACGCGGTCGCTCTCGCCCGTTCTGGTGCACTCCCACGGCGGACGGCGCGCGAACTCGGAGAGCTCGACGCCTGGAACCAATCTACCTCGCCGGCGCGAGGCCCTCTTCAACGTGTAGAAGCCTCTGGTCGTAGAAGTTCCAGCTTCGCGAACAACAGACCCTTCGGAATGTCAAAGAGGTCAACCTGGAACTGGAATCTTATAATGCTCCCATGAGAATCGTCGTTTTTTGAGGGGACCTCCGGTCGCCTCGAAATGGCGCTGAAATGATTGTAGATGTCCTGGTGGACGGCGGCAACTGTGCCCGGTTTATTTATATATGGCCAGCAGCTACCGATTACAGATCATCACTAGATTACAGGCCTCGAAATTGATTAGAATTGATTAAACCGTCTTCGGGTAGGCCCGTGTCGGGCCGCAGCTGCACCCTATTCATCAAGACCCCACCGGGGGACGCAGCCGGACAACGTGATCGTGCGCGGGTATATTCATGAATAATTCACGGGAGAAGGCGCGAAAGCGATACGGATATATTTTTCAGCGGGCGGATCTACATAAGATCCACGGCGGAGCGGGAAGGACGAGAGCCGGAGATTCCTTGACCAGCTTGATAGCGACTCGACTCGACTCGACGCGACGCGACGCGACGCGAGGCGAAGCGTCGGTTTTTCTTCCGGTCGCGGGATCGCAAATCAACGGGGACGTCGAACGAGCCGCGTTCCCGGTGACGCGGCGCGTTTTCTGCGCTGCCTCTATGAATCGAGCGAGCTGCCACGACAGGGGCCGTAGATTAAGCGTAATGGTGCAAAGTATATAGCCGCGCGCCCATGGATTCTTCTGCTCGTGGCCTCCGCCTGTGAAACGCCTCGAGGCGCCGGGGTTCAGCGACACCGGTGTACTCTAGCCGAGGGTACAGTGTCATTAGAGACGTACGAAACGTAAGCGGCGTGCGTGTATGCCTCGCTGCGCGAGTTACCGTCCCGCGATCATTTACCGGAGTAGGATGCGCCGCGACGTTTACTGGCGAATGGAACTAGTGGATGACTCGAAATGACCCATTTCTGATTGCCTTCCCGCGGATCGCTGGAAATGCAAACGCGTTTCTATGGGAGTCCGCTGAGAGCAACCGATTAGGCCTATACTCAAGTGTATTGGGATGTCAACACTAGAACCACCAGCTAGGTCAAAATTACCAATTTCGAATTTCTTCTTTCAGGATTATTGCAGAGGTACATAAACTGAAATATAAATCAAACTTTATAAATTCACGCTTGTAGCTTTTATAACGAAATTCGACTATTCGGTGGTTCGAGCGTTAATGGTCTTCGAAAAGAACTCGGACCTTGAAACTTTGTTCAAGCTATTAGTACCGAATTTCTTGTAGTTTAATTCAGAATTTCTGCAGATTTTACTATAGAAACAGTTGCACGGTTCATTATGTAATCCCATTTGTTTCATACTGTTAACCACTTCGACAAATGATCGCCTCATTCGTTACCAAAAATCCTGACTAATCTAAAGAACCTCCGGCCTTTTAAAGTCGCTCGAAAAGCGTCTCGTTTGCGTCCCATCAAGGGACATCGAACGTCCCGCGGAACTCCCGAGTCGGAAGGGTTAATTCTCGGATTAACGGTAGAAAACACAGCGATCTCGTATAATTCCGGATTCGTATCAGGTTTCGTCCAATATACAGACGCCGAACACCTGTGTCCCCGCATCTCGTAATTACGCATTCCCGGTGTAACGTCCGCGGCGACGTTCACCGCGGAAAGTGCGAAATCCTGTTGTACAGCCGACAGTTACATCGGTCTACGCGAATAGCGGCGACGATATTGGCTGCCTGCCGGCTTGAATTATTCGCCGAAACATTTATTCTCCCCTTTTCTTTTCTTTCATTTGCGTTTCGTCCGCCGATGTCCTCGGGGTACGCGTTCAGAGAGCGTTCTATCTAGTCCTTCCTGCTCCGCGCGGTCCGTCCTGACGCCTAAACGAGTCGAGCGACGCGTAACGAGTCCCGGCAAGGTCCCTGGATCCCCATGAATTCTCCCTTCCGCGAGATCGGAGGCAACGATCCGTGAGCCACGATGCAATCTTTCGAAGCATCGGGCAACGATCCATGAGGCCCGCACCGTGGATCTGGCTTCCGTGAATCCAGGCTACGATCCGGCCGCGATACGGAACGATTTCGCCTGATTAAAAGGGTAAACTTTGCTTTCGCGGGGATCGCTATTGTTTATCCTTGCGCCGGCGTTGCGCAACGGTCGCCGTTGCGTTAGCCGGCGGACTCACGCTGGCCAGGAGATCCACGCGAAACCCCGAGAGCACCGCGTCCGCTCGGCCATTTTGTATTTACGAGGAATGTCAAAAGGCGTGTGCCGGGACGCTCGAGCGGTCGTGCTCCTCTTGACCGATAGGCAAATCACTCTGCACTCGGGAGTTATCTGATTCGATGAATTCTACAATTTTAACACTAGAACTACCGAGCACTTGCGCTGGAAATGTATTCAGAAATTTGGCAGTCTCCTGCGATGAATTTTGTTTTTACCTATTTTCGCTGATATGTACACTAAGTTTGTTAATCATTCTGTGTAGAGTGATACATTTCGAAGTAATCTAATAGGCGTAATGCGACAAGATTATCAATGTATGGAAGACATTGAGAATTTTGGCATAGAAACGTCTCTTGCGTGGCACGTCCAGCGCAAGTGGTTAAACCGTTTTTGAAATGTCTTTATAAAAGCTAAACGCGTGAAATTTATCGAGACTTCATTTGGCTTATATTTCAATTTAGGTATTGCTTAGTCAGCTTTATTAACACGGTATATTAGAATAATAGCTTTGCTCTCTGTTTTGTGTAAGATATTCTTCTCTGTAACCTACGTGGAATGTCGTTGATATTTCATTGGAAAGTAATAAGTATTTATAGTGAGAAATATTATCGAGTGCAGAGGATTAATCATAGTATCATTAATAACTGACGGTTAACTGTGGAATTCAGTTTGGAAAATCTCTCGAGCGTAGTGAAATCAACCGATAACGAGTGTACACGTCGAACGATGGGCGAGTGCGATATATACGAATATAGAAAGCCAAAGCAAAATGAAAAGGACTATGTTTGCTTGAACAAGATAAATGATTAACCGTTGGAAAAGTCAGTATTACTTTAGGTTCCAAGGCGACGGATATACTCGCCAAACACAGTGAACGGAACAATTGAACTTTAGAGGAAGCACGTCCAAGGCGAGCGCAAATAGAGAAGAACTTTCGGAATCTCATGGAAAGTGGGCATCGTAGGAAACACGTTTCCTCGTTACTTTCTTCCTTCGTTTCATTCGCACGTGCCCGCGGGTGTCGACGTATGAAAGCGATACACCCGAATCCTCGTTCTTAGAAAATGAAGCTTCACCATCGAACCCAGGATATTGGAGTTCCCGAATTGCTTGAAAAGAATTACACGTAAGAAGATTACAAGATTATAAAGACATACTATATTAACCTGACAATATACAAATTATTATCAATATTAACCCTTTGCGGACGAGTGACATTCCGGAGACGAAATTGAAGCAGTAAGTGAATAAATGATATAACTCAAACAAGACATCATCACATAGTTTCCTTTTCGATATTCTTTAAACAATTGATATATCATTCTCATCTGCTAAAGGTTCTGTATATTCCAAAGAATCTTCATCAGAATACTAAAATTATATCAACATAACACTAGAACACCGAACGGTTCTTTTCACGATTATTAAAATCATAGCAGATGCTTAATCTATCAAATTAATTTAAAAATACCCAAACTGAATTAAAGTCTCAATAGCTACACAAGTTTCTACAGAGGAATATCAAAAGGTCAGTGCTCGGTAGTAGCGTTAATAGCCTAAATAACCAGACAACAGTGCAACGTAGGAATTACGTTGTGCTCAATAATTCTTCCTATCCATCCTATCTATTTTAATTCAAATAATTCACAGCTTCCCATAGTCCACCGATAGATCAACAGCTTCTGGGAACATCCAGATTTTCAAGGACCCGAGGATGCACCGATCCCGTACGGCTTTCCATCTCGAAGTGCGATCCCATGCATACCTTCGCAGCACACCTTGTAGCTCCGAGTCCAACGGGCGCAGTATAGGTAACGGGTTCGTGGGGGCACACGTTCATTTCGTATTCTTTTCGACGATGCGTCATCCGCTTGGCCAACCGCGGATAACTCCGGCCAACCGATCGGTTGCTCGATCAAGTTTCAAAACGCTCTCGGTCCACGGGGACCGGCTTGTAAGTAGTCCTGGACATCTTGTACATTTTTTTCGGACACGTTCGCAGGACACCGGCGATGACGAAAATGAACGTCGACACCGTCCCCGTCCGGGCCCTTCCGTAATGAATACCTGTCCCTCTAGGCCCGGCACGCATTATCGGTTCGCTGAAAATCCTTTCCTCGCCTTTCGTTGCCGGTGGACGATGATCGGAGATCGGGACGAGATTCGACCGGGGTTCGCAGCGTTGGATCAGCAGGCATTTAGGATTCTGTGACGAGGAAGTTAATGTTCTAACTGATTAAGAATTAACCCTTCGCACTACGAAAATTTGATTTGGCCGGGGACCCCCACGGTATTCGACGTGTTAAGTTTATGTATTCGTTTCCATTCTAATTATTTGTTTTGTTATTTACTTCTATTTTTCTTATTACCTTCCAATAATTTATTTCTGCTTTGTTTGTTGCACTCGAGAGGTGACTTGATTTGACGCAGTAAAACTATAAAATCTGATATTTAATGTTGAACTTTGTTTAATACCTCGATACGTGAAATACTGGAATAAAATAGCTTTGTTCCTCAACTTGTGATTTCCCTCGAGTTTCAAGGAATATCGTCTTCGCCTCCTTAAAAGATATTAAACATTTCTAGTGATCAACATTTCTAGTAAATCGAATTAGTATAGTTAAAGTTATAGTATAAATAATGCTATCTAATGCTATTCAGCTATGTCAACGTCCGATACTAATAATGTAATTTAAACAACTGATTCAATATTATATTTCTTCTATTTTGCGTATTTCACTCTATGAAATCGTGCGGCATTCAACCTGTTAAAGAACTCTCCCTGTATCTCCGGTTTCTTAGGCGCCATATCCTCCCGATCTATTTTTATCCCGCACCAAGTCATCCCCCACGAAACAAATCGGTCGATCGATCAACCGCTTCCGATTGGGTATCGAATGACCCTTCCGCCGCGTGGGTTTCCTCGATCCGCCGGTCAATTATCGGCTCCCCCCGCCGAATGGCCCGTTAATGCTCGTTAACGAGCGTTCTCACGAGGATCGGAATCGCCGCAAAAAGCCGCGGCTACGACCAGAAAATACATATTCTAGAGAACAAAATGTGTTATTCGCAGAAACAGTATTTAATCGCTCGCACGATACGTTCCGATACGATTCATCTCTTATTCGTCCCATCAAAATATACGAAAATCAAGGAATATCAAAAAATCGACGCCATCTTTCCTCTCTAATATTTTTCCTCTTGCATCGACAGATTCTACGCGATTCGCAAGAAGTATCCACGATTTCCGGGTGAACCCTAGATACCTGTTCCGGTAAGTCAAGTAATCATTGAACGAGGATCATAGATCGGTGAATGTCGCGCGAAATATTCGATTGAAAACTAATATCGCCGAGCGGTCGCGTCGTCGTACCGGTAATTGACCAATTTGCGAGCGTACCGGCACGCGATCGGTGAACGATCGGCCGATCCGTTCGTTGATTCATCAACGTTACATCACAATACGAGCGAGGCGCGCGTGCGCTCGCTCGCTCGCTCGCTCGCGCGACACACGATAACGCACTTTTCCGCGCGGCGGAACAGGAATTCCTAGATTGGCTGGAGGTCGCCGCCGGATCGGCTACGATGATCGGCTTATTCGCGTAGATTTCCCCGTTCCGATTAGGCGGCGCATAAACGCGGCGTGGAAGGCATTCCGTTTGATTCACGGGATAGCCGTAAACGCGCGATCGCTCGTTTGATTCATGTCCGCGGACGAGCCCCCCCGAAGTTTAATGAGAAGCGTAACCGGCGACGCGCTTTAACCCTTCGGCTGCCGCGGACGCGTATCTGCGTGCTTACATAAGTACTGTGCAGTTCGGAGATGACTTGATATCTGCCGGAACGGCGCAGGGGCAAGAGGTGTCTTCGCGGTTTGCAGTTTTATAGGTTTCATTGGTTACTTGTAACCGTATCGACGAATGCTAATTTAACGATCGAAAGTATCGGGAATTAGGAAGTGAAACCGGTAGAACATTCGCCGAGGAGCGATGAAAACTGACCGGTCTAATGGACTCCTCGGTTTAGACTTCAAGTGATCTAGTTACTAGTTACTACTGCAGTGCTCTGTGAGATTTGAATATTAGAGCTTCACGAATTCACTGGTTCATTGTACACTTCGTTCTATTGTTCCTGGGAAACGTGTCCATTTATGTAGATCGAGAAAATTGTATTCAAAACTAGAGTACTGCAATACAGCGTGATTGCACCGATCAACAACTTGAACTGTTACTAACGCTTGAGAAATTTGATTTCCGTCAAATTGACGAGTTCCGTGAATCTAGCGTTGGTTCTTCGATGCTAAATGACCAGAAAACAACAGAAACGTAACGTACAAGATAACCGAAAAATGACACTGTTTAATAACTAAGTAATTAATAATTTTCCCACTTTTCTTTGCTGCAGAAGGGAAACTCTACGGGATAACGCTTGAGATTTTCATGGCGCTTAACGCGTTGAATATCAAACTCCGCAATCGCGGTGTGTCAAATCGATTGGCGACTTATTCAGTGGGACTAATTCTCACTATCGTCCGCCATTACACATTTCATTCCAATCGTTTTACGCCCGAATGTTTGCCGATAGCGAAACAATAATTACTGTCAACGACTCGTTCCGGAACGTCGAACCTCTCGGACGCTCGTCGCCCCTGCGATTCAAGGCCGCAATTACCCGGCACGCTTAATCGAACGTGCAGCTGAACGTCACGCGATCTTAAACTTCATTAAACGGACTTTTCCCGCGGCCTTTAATAAACGTGATCGCGGACGTTTGTTCCGGCGACGGAGCGAATAAAAAGCGGACGTCGACAGGACGCGGGGACCGGCGTCGCTCGCAACGTCCACGGAGGGCGAAGCAAAAAGTCGAGGAGAATATTGACAAAAATCTGTGTCGACGGACACTATTGACAGAACAATTCGTCGCGCGATCATCTGCCGCGAACGTAACAGCGTCGCAAATGAGCCGTTCACGGTACGATACAATCATGACGAATCGTGCACGAGAGAAACGGTTTGCTTCTCTCGAAGAAAACAACAGGTTTCCTTTTACGATTCGAGCATCTTGTTAAAAATGGAACAATCATACATTCTTTTCGATTTCTTCGACATTTCTTATGCTGTTCCAGTGAAACTATTTTCAAGATCATTGCGTACGTTCAAACCATTTGAGTGCCACGTGTCTTACGAGAGTTCAGTTTAGTTCGGAAACTGAATTATTTTCTGCTTTCAAGCGAAAGTATTCTAATTCCATTTCTAAGCAGACAATGAAACAGATGGAAACAACACGTTCGCTACCAGCGCTTATTTCGGTGACGGTCTGCATTCCCTTCGATCCAATGAATCTACACAAAATATTAGAAAAACAGAAACGAGTCACGCGTAGCGAACGCGTTAAAAGGAAAACAGCGAGTAGGCCCGATTTAATCCTACAAACAGATGGGCCGACGCTCGTGAGTAATCTAGCGGAGAAGCGCGATCGCGCTGCTTGCCACTCAAACGGTTATCACGTTTGAGGTATCAACAATTGCGAAATAAGAGAACCGACGGCGCGGTGGTTCCGGTGTTAATCAATGCCCACGGCAACAACCGTGCGATCCATTAAATCGCCGCAAGAAGCACGACTGTCGTGCATCTTCGGGATGTTATTAATCCGCGTGATCTCGAAAGAATCCGTGTAAATCGTTCGCGTCTGTGCACGCGTTAAAATAACGAGCCTTTATCACGGACGGGCATCGATTATCTAATGCAGTAATAGCCTTGATTATATAATTACCCGTTCACCCGTGCAACGGGAGTTGCCTATGGTATCCTTCGGGTTTTATTACGCTTTCCGTTTTCCCGTCGGTCCTCCTCGCGATCACGTCTTCTTCATCGGCGAAGATTCCGATCGGTAACGTTACACGGCAATTACGCGTGCCGCCGATGAAAATCAAG